TTTTTTCTCCTCGATTAATTTATTTTAAAGCGATTTATAAAGAAAAGACGAAAAAGACGCGAGCTCGCGGTATTATCGCAAATTTTTGAGTTCTTACGGCGAGTACTGTACTTTGGCCATTTCTCAACCCGACAGCGTCCTTCAGGCTACCCCTGGGTCACAGGCTCATCCTAGGGAGAAATCTCAGAAAACCGTTTTAATGGGAACTGTGAATCGTGAGAATTTTATCCGGGAACATCGTAAGCAGGACTTCCCAGTGGCGTTCTCTTCATCCTGGATGAAGCACTCAAGCGAAACTCATGGTAACGAGGATGTTCACGACGAATTCTCAGCCGCACTCCATCGATTAAACACAAGTTAGAGGCACTTGACATCTAGCCAAGCACCTTCTACTAACTCAAACTATAGCAACAGGTGCATATTCTGCGCTGCACATTTTCAAATTCTAGGTTTGCTCTTACAGCATCTCCACGACAGGATCAGAGGCCTCAAAAAAGGGTGATCCCGATCAGAAGGACGACCTCCGTTGACACTGGAAATCAAGAGTCGCCGTTTCCTTTTTTACCTACTACCGACCAAGCGCTGCGGTCGGGCAGTGATCCTACCAGTCCGGCTCCGTACCAGACGGAAAATCCCGATGATGACTCTCCGTGGCTGAAGGATGCGTTCGAGTTAGGATGGCTCACAGATGATGCAAAACGAAAACGCCACAAACCACCACGTGAAGAGGGTAGAACTGTTTCTGAGCGTTTCCGCTTGGCTCATGACTATGATCCTCAACGTGACTACAATAGTGTAAGTTTCCTGGATCCTGATCTGTGTTCAGTGTTACATAGACTTGGCAGTATAGCTGTTCTTCATGCATTTTACAGGTGTGCGACTGCACCAACTGCAGGAATGAGAGAAAGAACCGATCAGAACAGGTGAGCTCTGCTGGTGTTTACGGGAACATCCGTTTTCTCGTCATTACTGAGTGCTCTACACTGATCGTGCGATGAAGTGGTATGCTGATATTGGTATGATGGAACGAGAGTGGGAGACGATACTCCCCGAATCCTCTTGGTTCTTGTGGGCTGTTCGCATAAAGACCCTTTCCTAGCCTTGCTGCTACATGAGTGCATTCGGGAATATGAACACATGTTGAACGCGTGTTGAGGAACAAATGTTTAGAGCATTTCAGCATTTTAAGGGGGTTTATTCTCGAATGATTTGTTTCAGAACCTCTGCGACTGTTATGAGTGCATTATGGCTCTTCGTAATGGCGTTGTTTTGCCAACATGTGAAGAACGCGAAAAAAAAGCGCAAACACCTCCTGCTCCCGGAGAAACAGACGTGGAAGCACCCAAAGAAGAGCCCAGAGAAGCGCCAAGAGAACGCGCCAAGGGTAGCTTCCCATGGGTGAAACGCCTCGTGAAAACGCAACAACCAGATAAAGCCAATCAACCACCAAAGAAGAAGGAATCCAAAGAAAAGCCCAAGGAAGCTCCACCGAAGAAGGGATCCTATTTCAATAACTTACTCAAGAAAACAGGAAAGCCAGACCAAAAACAGTCGACAAGCTCGCAAAGTGGTACAAACACGACTACTGCAAGCGCTGCTACTCCGAGTAAGAGTACTAACCAAACACCGAAAAGCGCTACACCGCTTACTTCTAGTAAGGCCACGCCAAATAGCAGAATTCAGTCTGGGAAGGACCAGAAAGCGACCAAGACGTCAAACGCTAAGGCTGCAAAGCCACCTCCAGCTCCAGCAAAGAAGTGAGCAAATTTTTCGTTCAATCAAAATTTTTCAAATGCGAGACAAATTCGCTCTCGTGCCCATGAATGGACCCAATTCTATTTCCATTCAGTTGCGCCTCTAGGAAGCAATGACCCTATCGCAGATCCTTAATCATTTCTCCATTCTGCAATGGAACTGGAACATTTCAATTAATCAAGCAGGCTACTGACGCTACTGTGTCATCACAACTAGGAGTGCTTTTAAAAGAAAAAGATTTTCTGGTTCTAGCTCCGCCCACCCCTGTGCGCGCCCCGCCCACTATGAAAACTTGGCGGCTTTCGACCATCCTCCCTCAAATCGTAGAATGTTTCTGAATAGAGTTTTTGGACTTCTAAATAAAGAATCCTCTGATTGCACTAGCACTTTGGTGGAATTGGATTACGAAATTATTTTGTAAGCACCACCCTGTTGAGAACGCTCCGCCCACTGTGGATCTCCCTAATTTCAATTGCTGACCAATTCCTCAACTTCCCTCTTTTTTTCTTGAGCTTGACTTTAACTTGACTAAATCGGAAACTTTTACTTTTGACCCGTCTACTCCAATACCTGCCACACCCCCTTCCCCCATGGGCAACCTGAGCTCAAATGTGCATCAAACATGACCGAACCTCTCAATTATTTCTTCAGGTAATACCGAATTTCGTGAGTTATGCGACAACTGATTAAACGGGGTGTGGTGCAGTTGAATCGAAATGGTCGCTTGCGATTCAACTGCACCCTTTGCGTAGCAGAATGAAGCAGAAGCAGGGCAGCAAGTAAGAAGAATCAGTAGAGTAACGCCAAAAACAGTAAAATCATATCGATCGATCTGCATGAAGAGCGCCAGAACTGCAGCAACAAGGCAACTCGTCCGCAACTGAAGCGTGCGGCCTACCGATCGGACTAAACCGATTCAAGTGGCCGTCCCCCGATTCAAACGCTACAGATGGTCTATCAATTTCCTTGCAGTCAGTCTAGCTTTAGATCTCGTCGTTTCAGAAACGCAAAACCCCCAACAGCAGTGAAAAAATAGTGAAGGCCTCAACTTTACACTCACGAATGGAAGAAGAAGAAGAGCACTTATTGTCTATTATATGATGTATTCAAACCAACTGGACTACAACTAACGATAAATCGATAACTTAATAAAAAGTTACTGGTTACTTTTGAAGCACCAGCACTTCGAACGCTGAATGACGCGATTTGCACTCAACACTTGGCATCGCCTCGCTCAGATCTGACAACCTACTCGTTGCATGCTTCTGCTATTTCCGCACACAAAGTCTAAAAAAACAAAGTTGTCTTCCCAGACGAGTCCAGTACCAATTGTCCGGCCACGGATGGGTGGAAAGATCGTTTGCTCTGAGCGAACTAACCTGGGTTTCGTTTCTCAAGTCGTAAATGTGATATTAACGTGCCTATACACTTGCTTATACACTCCTCTGCCCTATTTGCTCACAAAACGGGGAGAAGTACCTCAACGGCAACAGCTTACAATATGAAGCTCAGCGATGTGTATAGCTTGCTGAAGAAAGCGTTTTTTTTTTCGGGATTGTACTTACCAATACTAGTAGTACAATCTCCTGGAAATTGGAATACACCTGCCTTCAAAGGCATAGCTTATTATCGCATGGTGTCGGCAACAGGGCTAGGGTGAGATATTATATGATAAGTAATTCATCAGTGAAGACCAAAACAGAATCGACCGACTAGGATTCATTTTTTAAAACTTTCGGCCTCGAATTTGCTAGTGGGAGAACAAACATTTTACAATCAAAGGTACACTTTCTGCTCTTGGTTTCTTTCTTTTAAGAGTGCTTTCGCTGCGACACACATTGACGCAAAGCTAAATATATATAGTCCGCTGGAACCCTTGCCTCCACAAGTTGCTCATTCGGGATTGCTCTCCAAACAGGGGCACATTCAGATCCACTGCGATTCTTGAAGGCAGTGGTATGTTCATCGAAGTCGCGGTCAATAGCGCTATGGCCCTGATGACTTTAAAGGCATACTTCTTCATACAATTGTTTCCGGGATTCCATCCTGGAAAGAACCCGTGACTCCCAAGGATAGCACAAGGGATGCTGTCAGATCGAAAAAAAAGACCTAGATGGGGTGTAATAAGGGCCCGAAATCGGCTAATCGACGCGCACACCTAAAGCGGACGAGTTTGTCGGAGCTGCAGAGGTCGCCCCATTTGCACCGCGGCGCACACGTTGCATGCAGGCAGCTTACTGTAGCCAGCTGTACGCACGTGCAGCTAGCTCGTCCAAATAGGGTGAACCTATTTAATTCCACGTCTAATTACTTCGCACCTTCCTCGTCCATCCACTCACTTGCCTGTGGGTGGCCTTGCTTAATTGGTTGGCTGCTGACCTCTCTGCCACACAGCAATACTCAAAAGTAACAATATCGATTATATGATTAACCCATTGACGACCGCGTGGCCCGTATACGGGCCACGCCCTGTCGTGCTTCTGGGACCGCGTGGCCCGTATACGGGCCATAGTTTTATTTTCCATGTATAACATTCCTTTTCGATTTTTGTGACCCTTTCAAGTGTCGAGCAGGTTTATGACCTATAATGGAATCTTGACGCGCAGTGGTCCGTGAAACGTTTGCTTCTGAGTTTAGTAAGAACAGAAAACAAAGTTACTTCTCAGGGCATTGGTAAAGGAGCAAAACTAAAGGTGACCGAATTCATGTAAAAGGATGTAAAGGGAGTTTGTTGAGGCATTCGATGATTCGAAACATGTCATTCTCATCTTGCTTGCTTCCTCGTGTCTAGACAGAGTCGCTTTTGGAAATGATTTGGTAAAAACTCTC